ATTTGTTGATCCTATATTGAGACATAATAACCTTTACTATTTAATGATTATGGCTAGACCAATATATATTTTTAATTGCATGAATCTTCTACCCGACAATTTTTTATCTAGATCGCTGAGTCGGATGGAAGTTTGTCGAGATTGGATCGATTTTGGGATGACATAGATCACAGCCAGATTCCCCCATTTTCTTTTTGTTTTTTAAGCTTGTATAATGTTTTCTTTAGGTGCCCTTACATCCCCACCGCACAAACCCCTATTTTTATTTTTATTTTATTTATTTATAATATTTTTTGAATCACCTATTTAGACTATCCGGATCTGATCTGGATCACTGATTGGGAGATCCAACATGAATTTATGACTGATCTGGGTTTTAACTTCGTAGTAATCATATTACAGTCATATTCTAACCCGTGGCTATCCAAACATGCCGTCTAAACTTTTGTAGATTTTTTGTCCCTCCTGCCCAAGAGAGAGACAGAGAGAGAGAGAGGTGGACATAATCCCAACTTTTTTTTTTTGTTAATTTTAGAATGATAAAGAGGGTGCTCATTACCTTTTTTTTTTTTTTTTGCACGTTTTGAAGAGGGTTTCCTCAGACGCCCATTACTGTCAAGTTCTAGGAACAGAAAGGGGTACTCATTTGCTTGGCATTTTATTGATTTGTAGAGGGACAGATCATCTAAACATAGGGAGGGGCTTTTCCAGTTTTTCAAGGAGAAGGAAACCGCAAAAAAATAATTTTGGCTCCTCACAGACATAGAAAGAAAGATGCACGTTCCAAGGAGGGGAGAAAAATCCATGGACCGGGATGGATTTTGTTAGCCCAAACCCATTTTTGATAGCCAAGCTAGACATTGATATGTGAGTGTAGCTATTAAAGGTCTTATTAGTGTTTTAATGAAACATTTGGTAAAATGGAACATGAACTTAGTGGGAATGTGGCCCCTCCTAGATCATACTAAGCAAATAACATTTGTTGATACCGAACTGTGTTTTGTGATCTAGGCCAGTCAGTTGAGAAAAACCTATGTTACTTGTGTGCATAGAAAACTATATGATAATGGTTCTAATAGGTCATCCCTTAATGATGTTGGAGTATGCCTGAATAAGTGAACCAATGGACTGTGTGACCCTTGTGTGTGATGATGCTATGATTTTAGAATTATTATTTGAATTTTTCTACATTTCTGGATATTTTATTTTATAAAATTAGGATTTATAAAAAAGGAGATATTGAATTTTCAATGTTTTAAATATTTAAATTAATTTTAAAATATTTTATTAATATTTAAAATAGCATTGGGGCCATTGGTCACATGAACCTTAGCCTCAATTGGTAGGGCCAACAAAGCCACCTCATGGGTGGCGCGCCCCAATTTTAGGGGCTTCCTATTCTCAGCACTAGTTTTCTTATTTTATAGGGTTGAATTAATAAAGAGTAATAAGTTCGCTTTGGAAGTTATTTTGAGATTTGGATAAGTCTTTTATCTTGAGGAAGATTTTAATGAATCTTTTTGGATAAATCTCAATATTATGATTAATATTATTTAATTTAATTTCTATTGATGGGATAATAGTGAAAGAAAAAATGGGATAAAGGTTGCAGCCCTTTTCTTAGTATGTTGATGGGCATTTGTAGCGCTTTCTTTAGCATGTTGATGGCTCATTTATGGAATGAAGGGCTCAAATCTCATCTATGGAATTGATGGCTCAAATTTTTCACCCTACAAGACCATGATCAATGGTTAATATTCAATCCACAAGAAGAGGCAAGGCATAAAAATCCTAAAAAACCCTTATCCCGCTCTAAAAAAGTACCACTTGCCCATAATTCTCTTTACATCAATGTCTCTCTTCTCTCTAAATATTTCTATCTCTCTTTGATAGCAATACGGGGCACACCCCAACCCTAGAACTCTTTCTATCTAGATCAAACTAAGGGGCACGCCCCACTTAGATGGTGTTCTATCATTTTAATGGTTAATCGTTGACCCTGCACCATTAGATGGTGGTGATTCGGTGTGAGGTATAACAATTCGGTTGAGGTAATATCTGGCATTCTTCTTTTATTTCTTGTATTTTCAATTATATTGTCTTTATATTCTCAAGCATGAGAAGTAGTGGTTGTTTTTTTTGTTTTAAAAAAATTAGTTTAATGACATCAAGGTTTAAAGATATTGGATTTGTTGGTTTTACTCTTATTTTTTCTTGAACCAATAATTATTGTAACAAGACCGCTTGTAAGTAATCTTTACCGAAAAAAATGGGTGAAAAGAATAAGTAATCTTTGCCGAAAAATTGGTGAAAAGAATAATATTATATTATTATATATATATATATATATATATATATATATTCCCTGGCAAGATCACGTTGGTCTTCCTTTCATACACTTGGACACTATTGTAAGAAGGAAACAAATCAAATTCATCAAACAGTATACTATAACCGATTTAAGCGTTTAACAGCTCAAAGCAACTACACGCTAAAAAAACAAACCAACAAATGCAAACAAGAAAACGGATAGGCGTTAATGCAACGATTTTCGCGCTAGTTGTTGCTTCTTGTATAGAGCCCTCCCACCTCTTTACCACGACCAATCGTCTGACACTACGAGAAGGGGAACTCTTTCTAGTTTGACCGATTAATAGAGAGGTTTTCAAGCTTAAATATAATAGAATGAAAACATTGTTTAAGTTCAGAGCAGGTGAAAGAGAACGGCAATGTTTCAAAAAAACAACTAAAAGTTCTTTTAATTGGAAAATACTTGACACGGTTTTGATGAGTCGGCCTACCCATTTATTACCATGCAGTCCCTTGTCTATCTAACGTCCCATCGGGCATAAAAAAAATGTTATATACACCAAAAGTTAAAATAGACGGTGAAGAAATGATATAAAAAAACTAACATTTATATTTTTTGAATTTTTTTTTCCAAATGTAGTTTGTCAAAAACCAAAAAAATGTAAATTTTGATCATTGTCATAGTTGAGATTTCCGAACCTTAAAATTTTGTATAAACAATACATATTTAAGATAGATTTTGTAGCGAGACTACCAAAAAATAGTATGAGTCGGCCGACTCACCAAACACCTTTACGTCTATAATGAATCCCAATTGTTGGAAAATCTTAAACTGGCCTTTTACCGAAGGAAGTAACTATAATATGTGCTCCCCTAAGAGCATGCTATAAATGCTCGAATATTTCACAGGGATGCGAGTGGACAATTGGCAATGGGGGAATTTACCAAAATGTACTTAAATTTTCAGCATTTTAACCGTTTACTCTTTTTCAAATATTCCAACATATTTTGAAATGAGAATGTTTATTATACTCGTGTGGGAGCATTTAACTGACCGCGTAGTCCCTCATACAAAAACCGTGAGGATTTTTTTCCATCTAAAGTTTTGGGAAACATCTGAGAATCACTAGATGGTTATTATCAGAGGAAAAAAAAAAGTGGAGTTTTAGTTCTCTAACGGTTAGCTCTCACCCTCCAAAAATTGGATGGTATTTATTCAATCTTGAATGATTATTATGAAGTGCATCCAAAGTGTAAGTGGATTTTTTTTATTATTATTGAAGTTAGTGTATGAGTTGAAGATATTACATCCATAAAACTTGGGGTCATAAAAGAACTCTTGAATTGCGTTTTATATGAGGGATTAAGATAGTATGCTCCTGTAAGAATATGAAATATTCTGGCTTTTGAAATGATAGTAAGACCGTTTACATTATTACAAAAAAGTCACAATCACTCCTAGCCATTAGATGTCTAATTATATGGCTTGAGGTGTCACGAGATTCTAAATTTTTTATTTGAAGTTTAAGTCTAGTTAATTATATATTTACATCCACCCGATTTAAAATATGATGGGCAAAAACAATGATGACCTCCTTGTACTAAAAACTAAATGATATCTTTGTATATATATATATTTAAAATTAAATGAAAATATTACAGACAAAATGGTAAATGGTTGATGGCCATGTCTTATTTTGATAAATTTTCTTTAACAAATTGCCCCTGTTTACCAAAGGGTGTGGTTTTTGTCAGATTGTAATTTTAAACAATCCAATTAAGGCGTACATCCAAAATTTATCCTAACATTTAATTTTGGTGTAAAAAATTCTAAAGATTATTTGAAATCTATTTTCACACTAATTATAAAATTTTAAACTCCAAAAAGTCAATTCTCAACAAATAGTAGGGGCCAAATCCCCCACTAACTTACCAAAAGGGCAGGGTCCAAATCCCCATTTACTTAACACTTTTAACCTCTGTCAAATTGAAAGTGACTTGGTTTCGGATGGTCCTATGTCCACATTTTTTGTGAGGTCAACATGGTGGCTGATATTCTTGCCAAGAGGGCTACATCTCTTTTATAAGCCATTGTTTGGTATTCGCGTCCGCCAGACTTCATTTACTTTGCTTCTTTTTTTTGGGTAATTCAGTGGCTAAATGTTTGTTTTTTTTTTTGGGTAATTCAGTGGGGATGACAAGCATCTACCCGTTTTTTAAATCATTAGTGGTTTTTGAATGCGTTAAGTGAGACTGTAAGCCTAGACTATATCTAGGGCACCGATGGTGCTACCACCACGACTCCAACCCATTTTCAAAGTGGTATGTCAATGGGGATTTGGGCCCCTATCTTTTGGTGAGAATAGAGTAAGAGACCTCACTATGGGGCTCGGCAATCATGCTGCCAAAGCCCAAGCCATTCTCTACCATTATCAAAAGTTGTAAGTCAATAGGGTGAGATTGGACTAAGAGACCTCACTATGGAGCTCAACAATACTACCGCCAAGGCCTCACGGTGAGGTCTAGATAATGGTTTGCAAGATGCACTATTTTTTAAACTTAAAATATTTTTTTTTCATATTCATATATTTTGATGTTGAGATGATCAATTAAAGAGTTTCTCAACACTAAAACCACCTTTAATCCTACATTTTAAAGTTGCACTTTGGAAGAACTTTTTCCTTTACAATCTCCTAAAATCCGGGGCTTTGGTTCAAGATCAATTTGGGCGCGAATATGAGACCCTTTACCCAAAAGGGCTGCGCTAAATAGTCGTCACTTCGGGAAAAACGAAGCAGAGCAAAAACACGCTGCGCTAAATAGTCGTCACTTCGGGAAAAAGAAAGCAAAGCAAAAAGACGATGAGGTCATTTGCTTTCAAGTTTCAATCCAGTCACTCCATCTTTAGGGTTTTTCTAGGGTTTTAAACCGTCTGACGTTTTCTGATTCTCATTTCATGGAGGTTTCGTACATTTTAAGGGTCTTCAGCAACTAATTCTGGCTTTTTGCTTCATTCCTTTTAGCTATTTTTCTCCATTTCTCATCGAGTTTTTTTGTTCTGGTTTTTGGGGTTTTCAATGGCCTGCATTACCTGTCAAAATAGGGTTTTGAGTAACCTTGAATGTAGAGGAAATAGAGTGTCTCTGAACAGTGGTAGCTTCTTTAAGAAATCGATAAATTTACCCAAAACCAATGGAAGGAGAAGCTCTCTGTGGAGTCGAATTGATGGGGATTTTCGGTTGAAGAATTTACCAGTGGTATTGGTGAAGGCGGAGGCTCAGAGTCATGAATTGGCTGGTAAGAGTTCTAAAATTTTGAGAACTTTCATCTGAAAAAAGCTCTTTTCTTTTTTCTTTCTCTGTTTATGTGTAATTTTTTTTTTTTTTTTTTTTTTTTTCTATTTTGGTTTTTTACTAATGGTGATGATGCGTGGGCGTGCATGAATTTTTTACTTTGCCTTTTGTGTTTGGCTTTCACGTTTTTTTCTTTTCTCCTTTTTGTCTTTCTGGTCTTTTCTTGTTTCTGTTAGTTGCCTTCTCTCTCCCCCTTAGTTTTCTGCAAGGTCTGATATTTATGCTTTCTGCAAAGTCTGATATTTATGCTTTGTACCGCTTTTTACCTGATATGCCTGTTGTGGGTTTTGACTGTTTGAACGAAATTAGAGCGTTTAGTTGTACATCCATGCTTAATCCTGCCTCATTTTGCCTTTCTTCAACGGAAAATTATGTTCAGGACATGCCCATAGTGGATTATACTAGCATGCATAACACAATTATATACACATATATACATGCATGCATTTCTATGGATGGCTTTTGGTGAGTTGTTAAACGCAATCTCTTTCCCTCATTTGCTACCATTTTGCCGTGTATTGATTTGATATTTTCACCTACCAGCAATGTCGTCGTTTCTTGCGGTGCTTCAACATTCTTTAATGGTTTGTTGGATTTTGGTAATTTTTTGGGACAATTTAATTGGATATTTGTGTATTCTCCAACTTTAAGCCAATGTGGGATTCAAAACAAGACACTTTTCTTTTTGGGATTGTAGCACCAAAATATGTTGGTTGGGGTGGAAATCTCCATAACTACTCTTGGATTCAAGAGCTGGTATTTCTTGTTGTATCTCTTGCTGCAAACAATGATTGTTTACAGGATTTTGAAGCTTTTGGCTGGTGAAGAATTATACTTTTTGTTTTAATTTGTTAGGAGAGAACAAGTTAAATCCAAAACAATGTGGACATATATATTTATATGAGATTGTGAGGAACGCTCGGCATTTTGGCCAGAACCATTTTATGTGCCCACAAGTGGCACACATTTGATGTGTTACAAAAATAAAATTGCTAGTCTCTTAGTTGGGTTTATGCTAATTATATATTGAGAAATGCATGGGCATTGTGGTTCCTAAAATATGTGGATCGGCCTTATATGTGTGCATATGTGTATTATAGTTTTGTGCTCCACAAGTGGAGGGGCATGTGAAGTTAATGGGATTACTTGGGATTTAATTTTCAGTTTCCCTCTGTACTCAAGGTGGGACTGCTTCTGATCTGGGCTGGAGTTGTAGGTTTATTTTGTGCCTCATATATCTGCAAGATATTCCGAGCATGAGTTCATAGAAGGTGACGTGCAAAAGATGTTATTTGACATGGTGATATCAAGGCCCATGCGTTGATGGCTTTGCCTGTGCTGTCTAGTTTCTAATGGGTAAATGATGTGTTGGAGATCTTCTTGGTGAGTTCTTTTAAACACAGAAAGGAGGTGAGTGCTACTTTTATTACCCCCTGTGTTGAGGTGGGACTAGGCGAAAGAAGTTAAGGATATATGAGGTCAAGGAGCCCTGTAGTCATATTTTATTAAATTCGACCGGAAATGCTTTCTATGAGCTAGAGGAAGGAATTAAATGCCATACCAAAGTTCCTTTTTTCTGTGAGATAGACAAATTCTTGATGAGTCCTTAAATACTTATAAATGCCTCGGAAAGATATATAGGGTCTTCTGAATTGTTGGATGTCGAGAAGGTATGATTTAAGGATTACACTTTCAAAGAATAGGCTTTGGTGAGAGATGTATCGTGCTTTGTGCCTCGACTGCCTAGAACATTAAAGGAAAGGGATCCCCTTTCTCCTTTTCCATTTACTAACATATTTAGAGATTTGACCATATGATGCTGTGGGTGATGGGGATTGGGTTGATTTTGGTACCTGGTGTTAAGTTGGATTTCACTCTGGTTTCTTGCCTCGAGTTTGCCTATGACGCCCTAGTCTTCTGCAATCCTTTGAGAATTTAGGTGGAAATCTTTTGTTTATCCTTTATTTCGTGATAGTTTTGGGTCAGATAATAAATCTATGGAAATCCCGTGATGGGTTCGGTGTGATTTCAAGCTATGACTATGTAATACTTTCCACATATCTCTCGTGTTATCCTTTGCTTCACGTGGCATTTGGCCATGTCCTTCTTTTTTCTTTAAAGATGTTTTGTTTTAAAAAAAAAAATTTTGGACCATTTCTCGATTGTGCATGTCATCCTTGCGTAGGGGCCATGTCTTCTTTAGTTTATTTTATATTTTGTGTTTTCAAAACCAAAGTTTCTAGGTTGCCCCATGAGGTGCATATTCTGTGTACAATTTTCCAATCCATTTCCTTTTAGCTAGTATGATACACATGTGCTGTGTGCTTTTGTGCCTATGTATATGTATCTTCCTACATAAATGCAAGACACACAGCTATGAACTTAGACATGCCTCTCTCTCTATAGATGCCGTTTGTCTCTGACCATCTATGCAATTTTTTTCTATAATGAACTTCAGCGAGAATGGTTTGATTATGTTTCCTTTTTTACTTTTAGATGCAGAGGAGCGGGTGATTGCCTTGGTCGTTGGTGGTGGGGGTAGAGAACATGCTCTATGCTATGCTTTGCAGCGTTCACCATCTTGTGATGCTGTCTTTTGTGCTCCGGGAAATGCTGGGATTTCCTGTTCAGGACTCGCGACTTGCTTACCTGACCTTGACATTTCCAACAGTTCTGAGATGATCTCCTTTTGTCGAAAATGGGGGGTCGGATTGGTTGTGGTGGGCCCAGAGGCTCCTTTGGTTGCTGGCCTCGTGGATGACCTTGTCAAGGCTGGGATCCCCACTTTTGGCCCTTCAGCCAGGGCTGCTGCTTTGGAGGGATCAAAAGACTTTATGAAGAGGTTGTGTGATAAGTATGGGATACCAACGGCGAAGGTTTGCCTCTATCTCCCTAATGTATATTTTTTGATCGGTTATTTGACTTCATAAGTTGCTCCTATTGATACCTTTGTCTCATTTTCCATCAAGTTGGGGCTCTTGGATTTGTAAATATGGAATTCTGTGGCATCTAAATATGCATGTGTCACTTTGAACTCCACTTACAATTTTCTCTTGGATGTCAGATTTGTATTGGTAACTGGAAATATAGAAAAAAAAAAACTCAATAGGTGTCATGATTTCTATTGATGTAGTGTTATGACTTTGCTGGCGACTTTGAATTTCTCTTGCCAAAGTCTGCAATTTTACGTATTGGGAACAAATTCCACAGCCCAGTGGACCCCCTGGCAGACTAAAAATAAAAATAAAAAGTAAACAAAAAAGTCATGAAAATTTCCAAGTTGGCTATAAGTTATATGCATTAGGGAAAGGGTGCGGTTTGTATAGAGCCTGGACTCTAAACAATCAAATTAGAGCCTACCTTCAAATTGTGTCGAGAAATGTGGTTTCACTACTGGAAATCTTTCTGATAGCCTTAAAATATATTTTTCATATTTATTTATAAAGTTTAAAGCTTAAAAAATAGTGTTGATCGACAGATCTATAAAAACTTGAAAATTTTGAAAATTGAAGGTCCAAAAATGCATTACAAAATACACTATTTCTAAAACGTAAAATCCATTTTTTTCTCATGTTCATGCATCTTGATGTTGAGATGATCAATTTGAAGATATTTAGGCATCAAAACAACCTTTTCTAGTGATCTCAAATTTGATTGTTTAGAGCCTCAGCTCTATATAAACGTTTCCCTTGTGGAAATAGTATGAAACAATTTGAAATCTTTGGCACATTTTTATTAATATTACTAAGCACAACATGTAATCAAACTTTGTTTTAATTTCATTTTAAAAATGCATCTGAAATTCTCTATGTTAGAAAATAGAACTATCTTTTTTTTTGAATGTTAAAAGCAAAACCTGTCTATCAAGAAAAATAAACTGTCACTTTGTTATCTATGTTTTGGTTTTATTAAATTAAGATATGGTCATTTTGGTTATACAGATTGACTAATTTTAGCATTTTATTAGCATTTCAAAATAATACGACAGGCTGGGAAAATATTATGCAATGTGAAAATTTGTTGATTTTACATTTAGGAGTCTCATATATTGATTATGCTGGCTAAAAGGTTTTCTTGGAAATGATTGTTGATCTTTACAACTCCTATTGCAGTACCGATCATTCACAAACGCTACGGAGGCCAAACAATATATTCACGAACATGGAGTCCCTGTTGTTGTCAAAGCAGATGGATTGGCTGCTGGGAAAGGAGTTGTAGTAGCCCTGACTTTGGATGAGGCCTATGAAGCAGTTGACTTGATGCTTGTAAAAGGGGTTTTTGGACCATCCGGTTCGCGTGTTATTATTGAGGAATTCCTTGAAGGGGAGGAAGCTTCGTTTTTTGCCGTTGTTGATGGTGAAAATGCCTTACCTTTGGAATCTGCACAAGATCACAAAAGGGTTGGTGATGGCGATACTGGTCCCAACACAGGGGGAATGGGGGCCTATTCACCTGCACCTATATTAACCAAAGAGCTTCAAACTGAGGTAATGAATACAATAATTCTCCCAACTGTTAAGGGAATGGCTGAAGAGGGTTACAAGTTTATTGGGGTTTTATATGCTGGTCTTATGATTGAGAGGAAATCAGGGTTACCCAAGCTCATAGAATACAATGTAAGATTTGGAGACCCAGAATGCCAGGTAACATTGCCAATCTTCTCTCTCTACCAGTTTTCTTACAAACATTTTAAGCTGTTCCTGACTTTTATTTGATTATATATAATGTCTATGAATGCATGAGTTTTTTTTTTTTCTCATTATCTTACTGTATTTGGGAACCAACTTGCCATTGCATCTCAATCTACGTGTCCCTGTTATGTACTCATGTGGCATCTGAGCTGTAAATTTTTCCATGGATGATGGAGATGGTTAGCGGAGGTTGTTGATCTCCAAAATTAGCAATAAAATTGCAAAAAAATGCTGTTTTGTAAGGATCTATTATTGATTCATTTGTGTGAATAGACCTCTTGACCTCTTGTAGAAATGCTTTTGTTCTAGACTTCAGGATCATTGTTGTGGTATGGACTTGTGGCGAGCTACCTCCCATAGAATCGATGAAGTACTAATTGAACTACTTTGTAGTGTCACTTGTCGTGTGTATAATTTATTGCAAGTCTATACATCACTGCCTTTCTCTGTGCATGTAGCGATGCTTTTATGTTGTAGGACCCAAGTCCTTCCCATAAGCAGCAATTAAGGAGGCCCTGATGGTTAGAGAAATGTCGGATTAGAACATCTAGAAATGAAACATAAAAGAGTTTTATCTATACAACTGAAGTGCTTGTGTTCGTCACACTCTTTTGTACTGAATTTGCCCCTTTCCATAGCCTATATCCCTTGACCAAACCTTCGACTCTTATAAACTGTGTCAATGAATATTGTTGATGCCTTTCAATAAGAAAACATGTTAATTACATAATGTTGACACGCACTAAGAGAAAAATGCATTAATAAACTAAAACTGTGCCAAAAGTACTTCCTTCACCAAATTAAAAAAGAAACTCCAATTGATACCAATTGAAATCCTTGCTTTATAGAGAAAAAACAATTGTGGCTTTTTGAGAACCACCTTACTGCCTTGAATTGTTTTATGATTTACTTTGTTGCAAATTGATTTGCTGGTTGGAATTTGATTTCACAAGAATTTATATAAGGTAAAATTCTCTATTGTTTGCTCTTGCTCTGTTTCTCCCTTGAAGATAAATAAATCTATAGACAAGCAAAATAAGCAAAAAGTAAGGAATTTGGTGTAGCTATAGAGGATGTCACCTAGTTAAATATTATTGGAATATTTGCAACCTGCCATGTATAATTCCACCAGTTCTGGCTATTGTGAAAACAATGCAAACCGACCTTCACTTAACTATCTAGCTATAAAGTTGATAATTAAACCCTGATTGGGGTTCTCTTCTTTCTAATTGTTACTGAAAATTGGAGTCAAAAGGAAAGAGTATATGAGTATAATTTAGAGAGAGGAAATCAACCATTAAAAAAAAAGAAAAATAGAGATATGTATTGGCGGGGTAGGGAAACTTGCTTTGTTTTATGAAGCAGATATTTGGGGTTTGTTAGCAAAATATCCTTTCTTTCAAAAAGTACTCTTATTTTTCATTTTTCTCTGCTCTTGCATTGCATAGGCTGCTTGCTTGTAACTTATCTGCCTAGTGTTTAAGGCTTTCAAATCTTTCTAGTATGCTGCCCATGCGATGCAGGGGCCAGCTTATGAAAAACGAAGAATGAGTGCTCATTGAGAGGGAGGTTTTGAGAGGGAGGCAGGGAGAGATCTGAACATATTGGGTGGTGAAGCGGGTTACTGATGGATAAGCAAGAGAGGAGTTTTCTTGGGGAGGGAGGGAGCTCTCCTGCCAAAAAACATTCATATAAGTGTAAGGAATTTTTTGACTAAATATTTTGATAGAGGGAGTCTTTTTATTCCATAACTGCTTTTGTAGTCCATCTGTGCTTCGGGGAGAGCAGAGAAGAAAGGTGATTGTGATAATGTGGAGACGCATGAATAATGTAGTTTTTGGCATGAAAGGGAGGGAGGGAGGGAAGGAGCATCGTTTCTTTTGTGGATTGACCTCAGGAACTTGTGAGACTCTGTTGGCTTCCGAGGTTTTTCAATGGAACCCAGCACCCTGCTGGGTCCGAGCAACTCGGGCAAGTCTGAGCCTGAGTTGGCGAGTTTTGATTGATTGATATATATAGATAAATGTTTTCATAAAGCTCTTCTCAAGGCCAGTGGAACTGACGCTATCTGATGGGGAAAGCTGCTTTGATCTAATATCTAGAGAAATGGGTATTGGAGACTTGGGGGAATTGTTTTTACGCTATAGCAGGACTTGGTGTTAGATATATGCAACATCAAGTTTTGGCAAAAATTTAACAGGTTATGGTCTTGTTTCACTCCCCGATGGTTAGTGGAGAATTGGATTTTGCTCCATCATGAGATAAAGAGTATCTAGGAGTTTATGTATTCTTATCTGACAACCATACATTATCCATTTGGGTTTCTCTATGGGCTTGGACCTTCGGAGGCCTAAGAAGTTTGCAGGAATGTGGCATCTACAGGAAACACTGATGTTTTTGGCTTATTGCGAGCATATATGAGGTTGCTCATTGCATGTGTATGCCCATCTGTGACATGTATATATTTGATATAGATTGTTTCTCTGACTTAACTTATTCCATGACCATGTGTAGATGTAGTGAGATCTGTATTACTAAGGTAGACAAAGGAGTGTGGCTTTCAAATTTTCCTCAAGATTAAATACTCATTTTCTCTCCATGAGGTCAAAACCAAACTTTAAGTTGTAAATTTTTGGTGAAATTGGCTCATTAATTCTCTTACATGAAGTCACAGATCAGCTAGCTATCTTCTTACATGGAACCAGGTGTGCTCCAAAATTAATAACAGTTGTAAAACTGAAGTGACCCATTACTCATCAATTCTCCCACTAGAACCACATTGGAGTTACTTTGACCTAATGTTCCTCCAGCTGTAAGAAAATTATTTTATCTGAGTTGGAAACAAGATATATTCCAAACTTCAGCATAATGGTGAAATTGATTTAGAACTGTGGACTATCTTACATGAAATTGTAGATAGAATTTTTTTTAATTTTTTTTGTAACTCTATTGAAATTTCCTAATCTTAAATAGCTCCAAGAATTTTATAAGATTATGGTGTGATGCATGCATGATAATTTCCTCAAAATATCGTCCTTTTAACAACTTCATCTATCAATTAAATAGGATTTTGTGGTGTCTTTTTTTCCCTATTTATCGGTTTCCTTTTTAAGTTTTCTGGTCTCGAGATCAATGATGTCATTTCCACAACTCTCCCCTCTCCCTTGCTGGCTGAAGAGAGAGAGAGAGAGAGAGAGAGGAGGAGAGAGAGAGAGGAGGAGGAGAGTAGGTTACGTTACTAGTGTACGTCGTACTAGTCGTCTACTTAGTTTACGTTAACTTAAACGTAAAAGTTAAATTAATTACTTCTTACCTACGTA